ACAAGACCCTACGTTGTCAAGGAATGTAGCGGAAGATGGACTCGGCCCGGTGGTGGCGCACTGACGCACGACTACTGCCTGGGGGCGTAAAACATTGAAAAGGTGAGTGGACTAAAAACAAAGCTTGAGAAAAATAGTATAAAAGAACATACTAACCCCACTGTAAAATCAGTTATATAAATTAAATCGTTTCTTATATATATACTTGTACTGGAATCACTGCATTCATATCTATATTTATATATATGTATATAGCGTCAATCACACAATTGATTAAAACATTAAGTCCTCAAAAACATTGAAGACAACTTTAAATCTACCACCTAGGTGTACCCATTTATTGTTCAGTCAATTCCATATAATCCGTCAATTCCTTTCTCGTGCCACCGGAGTGACACATTCTCGCAGGTCTCGGTGACGCAAGGTCCACCCAAACCGCAATCTCGCAGGATTCAGGGGACACTAGGTCAACCTAATCCGTAATCTCGCACCTCACGGTCCGGGCCTCCCCGAAACCCGTGGGGTAGTGTCAAGCATGCTGACCTAACCGAAGGCAACAGGATGTCCGTCGACACCATTATAACCGAAGGCAACTGGATGTCCGTAGACATCATTATAACCGAAGGCAACATTTAAATCCGAAGGCAACCATAATTAATCTTGGGTACCTATAGTGGTTTCTAAGAAAATATAGTTTCAGAAATAATTTAACGAGAATAAAATAAATTCTTATTTATCCGTTAACTCTGCTGCTATTTTATCTGATAAATATCTAAACCTCTAATATGCCATAATCTCTAGGCACTCTCAACTCGGCAGCATATAAAATATAAAAAATAAAACATATAAAAGCGATAAATCAACCTATTAAAACTCTGATCAATGAATAAACTCATTCAAGATTAAATAATGAGATAAAATTGCATAAATTCATTTATGAAAACAAAAAGTCCACTCACAGGTGCTCTGAGCTAGCTGGACCTTTTGAAGGTCCCTCCTGCGGGTCAACTTGTGCCCGGGTGCCTAACTCGTCCGATTTGGTGGCCGGAGGAGAGAGAACGAGCGGTGAGAAGTTTGAGCGAAAATCGACTCGTTTTCTGTAGTTTTCCGGTGAACCTCGCGGCGGCTGAAGGCGGGAATGGCTGGGCTGCGACGGCGGGAGCTGGCCGGTCCAATCTTGGGCGGTCCGGTGCAGTGTGGTGGCGGCTAGAGGTGGCTAGGTGATCGGCTGGAGAAGAAGAAAGCAGGGGTGGGGCTTTGGTGTCGCGTCCTGACCACTTGTTCAACCTATGCAAGAAGCATGATGAGTCCCTCTGAGACTACATCAAAAGATTCAAGGTGGAAAAAGCCAACATTGTGGGATGCGATGACCGAATCGCATCCTCTGCCTTCAAGAAGGATTTACTAGTTGAGCACGACTTGTATTGCGAGTTGACTATCGCTCCCAGCCAGACTCTAGTAGAGGTCTCTGCGACCTCGGAACGCTATGTGTTCTTGGACGACGATCGAATCACGACAAAGAAGTCTGCTAAGCAAGCAGACCCATTGCCCAAAGAGGTAGGTCAGAGAGGTGGTAAGCCCAACAGTATGAACTATGGAGGAAAGCGCAAAGCACCATCCCAAGATGGCGCATCAACAAATGAAGGCTATATGAAGTTCACTATCCCATGATGATTATTAGTATGGTGAGAGGGGAAGAAACAGTGGACATAGAAGTAGAGAGTATTATCCTTGACATCAGGCAATTAACGCAAAGGTTGGAGCAAGTTTGTTTCTCGTTTACAACATAGGCAGCCTTGAGCAGTGGCGGAGCCAGAAATTCTATCAAGGATGGTCAACTTTAAATAGCTTTAGAATTACAATGAACTTAGTTTTTATAGGAAAATATATATAAGAATTCATTATAATGATTAAATTTCAATATCACAAATTTAATATCTTAGTAAGTATAACCCAAATTCTAGCAACCTAAAAATAATGAAAAAGTATTAAACGTTGATTTTCGATAGAATGAGAAAATCAAATAACATCCATGATACACACATATAAATGACATGAAAACAAATAAAGATCATATTCATGTTCATTATAGATAATTTACATTTGTGAGAAGGGTCAATATAGTAAATATAACCAACATGAGTTGGTCCAAGTGGAAGGGGCTTGAATCCCTTAAACAAGAGGTCCTAGATTCGATCTCAAGCACTTGCGAATAGAGCATACTCTGTTGGGAGAGGTCCCCGCTTTGCGCCTGACCGTACCTTGAGGGATTTAGTCTCCGCAATCGCGCGGGTGATACCCTGGGAAACCAAAAAATATATAGTAAATATAAAACAACTTGGATAACATAGATAAATATAATATTTTCAAAATGTTCAGAAGAGCCAAGTGACCCTTATGGGCCTTAATTGGCTCAACCAATGGCCCTGAGGGTGTGCAAGTGGTGTCACCGCACAGGGCCTCTAATTTTTGAGGGCCCCTAATTTATTTTAACGTATATGTTTTATATATAAATATTTTAAATATTGTATATATAAAACTCGAGTAGGACAATTATGTAAAAACGGGTTTGACAGCGTTGTTTTGCTGCACTCTAACTTCTACTTCTGGCGTGAGTTCCAGGCCCGCATGTGTACATCAATGATTACAATTTTTACCTTGGTTTTGTTTTTTATGTTTTTCTATTGTAACAGCAACAATAAAAAATAAAAAAACGGGGGGGAAACACATGTATATCAATAGTTGTATTTTCACCTTTACTTGGTTTTTTTCGGTAACAACAAAAAAAAAGAATTGAAAGAAAAGGAAACACATGTATGTTAGTAGTTTTATTTTTACCTAGTTGCAGTATACACTTTCTCTCAACTCAAAACAAAAGAAATAAAAATTCGTGTCTTCTCCTTCTTAAACTCTTATTTTCTACTAAGTAATAATCATTACCAATCTATCGCTTTGGCTCTTTTTTTTAAAATCCTTTAATTTTATTTTTTCCAATATCAAGGATTTCAACATCAAAAATCAAAAACACTAATTTCTAAATTCATAAAAGGCTAAGGAAAAAAATTTATCATAAAGGGCACCAAAAATCAAAGAGTCAAATTGAAATCTCAATTTAAATTCAAGTATATATCTAATTTTCAATCTACATGACTTGTCTCTTCATGCTGATTCTACATGTCAAAATTTTTATAAATTTGATTTGTGATTTGCATGCTAATTGATGATTATTTTTTACTTGAAAAATAAAATTGTTATATGCTATGCTGGAAGTTTGTGTTAGATTATGTGAGAGCCTTAGTTTAAGTATGGCACAGAGACCCTAAAATCTCAAGCCCGGCCCTGGTTTACAAAACGGTGTGGTAATCGCGCAGCCCATAAGGTAGCAGCTTTTGTTACTAGAGAAGGGGGTACTCATAGTTAGGGCATCATTAGTCCAGTGTGGCTGTTTAATTTGTTAGCTATTGATGCAAACGTTACTTTTCGTATTTTAATAAAATCTTCCACATTTGGCAAAAAAAAAAGTAATAAAATTATTTGCACACTTTTCTCTTTTTTTTTTTCTAAAGAACAACACACAGTTAAAACACCAGGCATTTGAGTTCTATGTAGGTACATAGCATCTGATTCACTAATCCATTAGAAAAAAATATATATATATTATTCTTCTTCCCCTTGTCTTGGAATGAGAATAATTAGTTCTCAATCGGTAAGAGAAAATTAGGAACAGTTGGAGACGTGATGTGCATGTGTGTGTACTCCATCAGCCAGCACACGGAGTCGAGAGTATTAATAAATCTTGTTCTTGTTCAAAGAAAAAAAGTAGACGTATTGAACCCTAAATATTATCTTATGCGCATTTGATAACCATTTCGTTTTCAACTGAAAACATGTTTGATAACAATATTTTCATTTTCTGTATTTGAAATTTTCAAAATCACAATTTTTTTATAATAAAAAACAACTTTAAAGTGTTTTTAGATTTCATTTTCTTACACTAATTTTTCATTCATCAATTTTACATAACCACATATGCATTAATTGCACTCTAGTTTCAAAACTCAGTATTTGGGACCTCCCTACTTGGAGAAATTATAGAATGGTACGGTATCACCATGTCAGCGGGTGATACTTCCATTTAGAATTTGCCACGTGTATTTTTTGATTTGGCCAAAAAAAAAGTAATAAAATTATTTGCACACTTTTCTCTCTTTTTTTTTTTCTAAAGAACAACACACAGTTAAAACACCAGGCATTTGAGTTCTATGTAGGTACATAGCATCTGATTCACTAATCCATTAGAAAAAAATATATATATATTATTCTTCTTCCCCTTGTCTTGGAATGAGAATAATTAGTTCTCAATCGGTAAGAGAAAATTAGGAACAGTTGGAGACGTGATGTGCATGTGTGTGTACTCCATCAGCCAGCACATGGAGTCGAGAGTATTAATAAATCTTGTTCTTGTTCAAAGAAAAAAAAGTAGACGTATTGAACCCTAAATATTATCTTATGCGCATTTGATAACCATTTCGTTTTCAACTGAAAACATGTTTGATAACAATATTTTCATTTTCTGTATTTGAAATTTTCAAAATCACAATTTTTTTATAATAAAAAACAACTTTAAAGTGTTTTTAGATTTCATTTTTTTACACTAATTTTTCATTCATCAATTTTACATAACCACATATGCATTGCACTCTAGTTTCAAAACTCAGTATTTGGGACCTCCCTACTTGGACCCGGCCGCTCCACTGTTGTGTTTGGCAATGGACCAATTCCTCTCGGGACCTCTAAATTCAAAATTCATCCTAAATTCAAATAATTCAACGAAAAATGATACAAAATCTTTGTAACATGAACTTTCATTTTAATGATACAAAATCTTTGTAACATGAACTTTCATTCTATAACCTCAAATGCACAATTTGACCCCAAGAAAAGTTTCACTTCCAAGTTCCACATAAAATTGAAAACTTAAAAAACAATGAATTTGGTTACTTGAGGTGCAAGTTCCATTTTTATTTATCTCTTTCGAGTGCTAGCAGATTTCGGGTAAATAGATAGGGATCAAATTCTTACATCCCTAAAATAAAAGGTAGAATATATATCCTATGCGGGACGTGCGCACTTTATATATATATAATATATATTGGTGTACATAATGATTGTTCATGCACATCCAATCCCTCTGCGTTTAGTCGGAAAAACGGAGAACAAGAAACTTGAGAAAAGGCCAACCACTAAAGGCAAATATATGACGAGTGAATACTCCAATTCTCTTGATTTAGGAAAGTAGCAGCCTTGCACTTCTGAGCTGCTAAAAGCAAAGATCAAGAACACAAACACCGACAGAAACGCATGAATAAAGTCTCTAGTTTGGACTTTCAACTTCTTCAACTCCTGCTGAATGTCATTGTTTGTACGAGTCTCGTTATCGTCATCGTTCAAAACATGAAGATGCGTGGATGTGGCGACGCCGTAGTATACTTTGCCTTCCCATGGCAGGCTATCAGTGAAGGATGACACAAAACATATGACAGAACAAACTAGTATGACAAATGCCACAAGGTACTTGTTGAACGTGTGGCATCGGCCGTTGTAGGAAATAGAAGGTGTGAGGGCTTGGAAGGCAAGAACTGTGCCAGTGGGTAAAAGGTTTGCAAGGCTTCCTGCAGTGCTTAGTTTTTGGTTCTTATTAATCTTCATTTTATCAGCAGCTGGGGTTGACTGTGTAACAATGGCATTCAGTTGGTGTTTCTGATCATCAGATGGTGCAGGGAGATCATGGTTTTGGTTTTCTGGCTTTGGTGGTGGTGGTGGTGGTGGGTTTGGTGGCGGTGTTAAGGAGTTTATGTGTAGCAAAATTGGCTTACCTACCTTGAGGTTTAAAATACCTTCATGCTGTGGTGGCGCTGTTGATGATTGTCCAATTTGCAACACAAACTGTTCAGGATTTGTTGCCATGGGGTTTGCTGATGGCGGTGTTGATGATGAATTTGCTAGTTCTGAACCCAGCTCCGTGCTCGAGGAGCGCTGAAGGTGCGGTTGTGGTGGATGTATCTGCAGAACAAGAGGATGATCAGCCATGGGTTGGGTTTAATGTGTTTAATTGCTACTTGGAGGTATTTGTATAAATTAATTGATGGATTTGGAGAATTGCATGGGAATGAATTGTGTGGGATATGATTTTAAGTTACACGTTGTATATAAGTATATATAGAGGCTACATAAAGCAAATTGAGAGAGAGAGAGAGAGAGAGAGAGAGAGAGAGAGAGAGAGAGAGAGAGAGAGAGAGAGAGAGAGAGAGAGAGAGAGAGAGAGAGAGAGAGAGAGAGAGAGAGAGAGAGAGAGAGAGAGAGAGAGAGAGAGAGAGAGAGAGAGAGAGAGAGAGAGAGAGAGAGAGAGAGAGAGAGAGAGAGAGAGAGAGAGAGAGAGAGAGAGAGAGAGAGAGAGAGAGAGAGAGAGAGAGAGAGAGAGAGAGAGAGAGAGAGAGAGAGAGAGAGAGAGAGAGAGAGAGAGAGAGAGAGAGAGAGAGAGAGAGAGAGAGAGAGAGAGAGAGAGAGAGAGAGAGAGAGAGAGAGAGAGAGAGAGAGAGAGAGAGAGAGAGAGAGAGAGAGAGAGAGAGAGAGAGAGAGAGAGAGAGAGAGAGAGAGAGAGAGAGAGAGAGAGAGAGAGAGAGAGAGAGAGAGAGAGAGAGAGAGAGAGAGAGAGAGAGAGAGAGAGAGAGAGAGAGAGAGAGAGATGGGAGGGAATATTGTATGAGAACTATTTTTTTTTTTAATTTCCATAATTCGTTTTGTTAAAAAAGAAAAAAAATCTGCCACAAAAGACTATTTATTTGGTTCATGTGATATATAATGATACAAAAAGCTTGAAAAATTCGAATGCATATCTCTTAGCTAGTGGCAACGTTATTCTCAGTGTTCACTGTAATTTATTCCCACTTCAGAAGTATCAACAACACACAACTTCACTGTAATTTATTCCCACCTCAGTGAAAATTATATAGTATAGGCCACTCAATGTGGCGATCCCATAATAGAATTTTCAATCAATTTCATTCAATGTAGTATATGATTGGATTAGTTTAATCGAATCATATTGCTTGGTAATCAAATGTGAACAAGGATTGGACAAGAATTTATCCCACCATAATCCTATCAAGTGCATTTTTTTGTAGCTAAACTAATCCTTACAAAAATATGGGATAATTCAACTATTTTGACCTTATATATGATGGCAAACCAAAGAGTCGGCGCTAAGGTTGTGGTTTGGGGAACCCAACGCCACAGCCATAGCTAGTGTAGAGACTCAAGGGCCGGCGCTAGGAACCAACCCCGTACTTCGGAACCCAAACGATGGAGATGGACTCTAACAAGCCCATCCTCGATAACCTAATCACGAAATTCGACTCACAACACCTAGGACCTCGGCATCTGGGACCGGGATTCGATAACTTTCAATGTCTACATGCTGCACCACCAATATCTTCCACATCATAGCAAATTACCACCATATGCACCTACAAAATAACAAAATATCATTTAAAATGTCTTCTTATTGCAGTTTTAGAAGCAAAATCATCAATTATATTATTATATTTAATATTTTCTAACATATCCCTTTCAATGCACAATATTGCTAGTCCATTCAACCTATCTTGAGCCATGGTGGTTCGCAAGTAAGATTTTAATAATTTTAATTTGGAAAAACTTCTTTCAGCAGATGCCACTGTGATAGGTATAGTCAATAATATCCTATAAGCAACCATTGCATTTGGAAACATATCCACACTCTTTACAAATTCTAGAATTTTAATAGAGGTCCATGGTTTATCCGTTTCATATGCTTCTCTTGGTAACATCACTTGCAACACTTGTAATTCTGACAGTAAATTACATGCATCAACATCTGAAACATCACCATTTTTCAAAGCACTTTCAAGATTCACACAAGAAACTTTCAATTGATTAGCATCCAATGAAGTCAACTTTGCAGCATCAAATAAGAACCCAAAAATAGATTCAAAGCAATGCAATTGTTCAAACCTACTCTTCAATTCACCAAGAGCAATGTCTACTATGACAAGAAAATAATTAACTCTAAAAGATTCTTCAGCTGATTGTTCTTCCCTTTCATTATTGAAAATCTCATCAAAATGCCTCTTTCTACACATTTGACGTTTTTTAGGAAATACAGGCTCAATTCCCATATCTCCAATGTAGTGTATCTTTCTTGATTATCTCTTGCATTTCTTTATCAATTGTTTGACTTGTTTTCAATCTGATTTGCAATTCAACACAAGACCTTAAGTTAGTGAGGTGTTCAATACTGTTTTCATGTTGTTTAAGCTTGTCACCAAGATGTTTCCAATCTCTGGATCCTTCACTTGCTAATTGACTTCTAGCTTGCATTGTTTTAAACAACTTACAACTAAAACAGAACACCTTATCCAACTCTTTTGAGTACACTAGCCATCTTCTATCATGAGTCTCCCCATTTGTTAATGTTCTAGTATAAAAATTATAGGAAAAATATCTAGAGTGTTCATCCAAAGGGAATTTCAAATTAGTTTCTCTTATAGGCCCATTTTCTAAAAGCAAATCTCTCATTTTAACATCAAGAGTATCCCAAACTCTTGGATCATAAATGTTTAAATCATTAGCATTTGCATTTTCATTTTCTGCTATTTCATTCTCATTTTCATCTATGTCATCACTTTGATTTTCATTTACATCAATTTGATTTTCATTTGGTGGCGGTAAATCTTCAGCTAAATTTTCAAGTGAACTAGTATAAGTTTGTTTAAGAAAATATTTGTTCAAAGTTCCTCTTAGGCTTTGAGCAATCTTTAATTCTTTTTTCTTTCTTTGTCTCTTGAGGTTTCCAGAAAGTTGTTTCTTAAACATGTTTAAATTTGTAGCATAAACAGACAGCAATAGCAAATTAAAATAGCAAGGAAAGAACAATAAAACCTGATTGCTGCCAGTGCCAATGCTTTCTTCTATTGCAGTTTTTACCAAGATGGAAGAACCAGCCAGTAGAACTAATTAAATTGCTTTCAAGATCAATTGCTTTCTCAATATCGTTCTTCTCTCTCTCTGTCTCTGGGAAAAGAGAATGTTCAGACTTCTTATTACAGAAAATATACCACAACACAAATACCCATATAAAACAAAAATAAAATAAACCACATACCCATCATCACGCAGCAGCACGCCTGGTTCTTGTTCTTGAGCCTGTTGAGAATTAATTGAAATGACATAAAGCACTGCTTTTGCTTGTTTAGCTCGAAAGCTGACAGCCCATACCCATATAGCATTAGTATATTATATATACCCATAACCCATTACTTTTAGTTTTCTATAAGAAGTTTGAGTTTTTATTTATTTATGAGGAATTAATTTTTTTTTTTACATATACATATATATGAGCTATATATAAATTTTTTTTTGGGCCCCTTTAATCTTGGGCCCCGGGCAATGGCCCTAGTTGCCCTGGCCAAGGGCCGGCTCTGCTAGTGATGCCAGGCAAGCAGTGTATTTGGCTTTTAAGGATGGTGAGGTAAAATTTCAATGTAGCAAATGGCTTTTGGAATGCTTGAAGGATTTTTTTTGGCGAGAACGAAATGAGATTTTCTTCGTTTTTTGGTTTAGAAACAGTGGTTTTGATTGACGCATGCAACATGCTTATGCTGCAACTTGAGTAATAAAAAGGTATTGCTAATCGTACTCTCTAGAACATAATTAAGAGAAAGAGTTGGAATAGGACTTTCAGTATTCTTCTTTATAGTAGCCTACCCCCAGAGCATATGGATTACATTCAACTCTACAAGTCTACCTTGGGCTGTAGCCCAGGTAGTTTTGAAGATTTTTTTATAAAATTATTGTAATCCATGTTGTTTTTAAAGAAAAACAAAATTAAACCTATATAGCCCATCAACTTGCCGTTCCCACTTGTGGTTGGGGCCCTCGTTTTGCAATCTTCTTGGCAGTTTCCCCACTATTTCTATGAATAGGTAAATATTATTTTTCCAAAGTTTGTTTTGTGGTCTTCTTGACCGTTTCCCCATTATTCTTGTGTATAATATGAGTATTAAATGAAAAATATTAAATTCTTTATATGAATAATAACTTTGGAAAAGTAAAAAAATCAAAAGGGGACAATAGGGACTTGGGTAATGGCCTAATAGTAATAGATAATGTTCTAAACTACTCTTATTTATAAACAAAATTGAGGAAAAAATAATTTTTATAAATAAAAAAACCCCAGTATGTATATAAAGAGTAGTTGGGCGGCTATACTATTCCTTAAAAATTTTTAAAAAAGGACCCTAGTATAGCCACCCTGCTATACTATTTATTATAAAAACAGGGAGTGTAGCCGCGCGGCTATACAATTTATTTAAAACAAAAATGAACAAAAAAAGGGTATAGCCGCGCGGCTGTACTATTAAACTGAAGAAATATTAAAAAGGAGTATAGCGTATAGCCGCATGGCTATACTATTCATTAAAAAATAATTTAAAAAAGGACCCCAGTATAGCCAGCCGGCGATACTAATTATTATAAAAAAAGGGAACCGGGTATAGCCACGTGACTATACTATATAATTTACAAAACAGGGAGTATAGCCGCGCGGCAGTACTATTCATTTTAATAAATAATAAAAATAGAGTATAGCCGTGCGGCTATACCATTAATTTGAATAAATAATTAAAAACGGAATATAGCCCGGCGGCTATACTATTAATTAGAATAAAAATTTTAAAAACGAAGTATAGCCGCGCGGGTATACGCTTTTAATATTTTATATTTCAACAATATAGCCCCCCGGCTGTACTATTTATTTATAAATAAAAAAAGACCTAGTATTGTCGTGGTCGTACTATTTATTAGAAAAATTATAATTTTGGCAAGTTACAATTGAAAAGTTCCGCCATTATATAATATTTTACAATAATTTATTGTAATATTTAATATATATTATTTTTAATCAATAATGTTGGCGCTAAATCTTGAATAGATAGAGATGAGTGCAACTTACAAGTGGGATGGACGATCAAGAGATCGATTGGGTGTTGGATGCCGATTCTTCCTGTCCTTGGATGCTGATCCTGAATAGAAGATAAGCGAAGCTCGTGAGGTCTATGGAACCGGTGTGGAACCA